TCACGTCTTCACGTCTTCGCGCGCTTCGCCCCAAAATTTACGCACCGCTACGACCATCAATGCGAAAGATGCATGACCCCAAGTTCCTTCTACCTGGGGACTCGTGGTACTATAGTCTACTATACTAAGATCATGTCGGACTTTTTGGTATCAACAGCATCAGTGACTCTAGGGGAACAGGACTTCCCTAGGAGCCTTAAGATTCCTGTAAGCTGCCTATTAATCCACTTACAACCCTTAACAGCAAACTAACTACCCAGGAACACACTTTAATTAGTTGGCTCTCAGCAGTCATCCAGAAACCCCTCGCCCTAAAAGATTGAAGTGTTGCCCCGTCTTTTCCGCCGAGTGCTGCTTCAAAACACTCCGAGAGTCTAGTGTCAAAAATCCCGGATTCTAGCTCAAATATGTACAGTGGGAGAGATGGTTTCGTGGGAGGGCCGGGAAGGTTGTTTGACATTTCGCTAAGCGGGGCTGCTTGAAAAAGTCGTTATACGCCCCGCACCCAAGGTTATGACTCAGGTAGTCCCAACTCAGTATAACCCCACCCGCTAAACACTGAACCCTCTTGTTCCACAAGAGAGCGGTCTTATGAGTGGTTGAACCAAGTAATGAAGGTCAAATTCTTTTGATACAATACTCTACTCAAAAGGAGACCATGAGCCGAACTCTATATGAGCTATAGTCTAAACTCCTTAAAGGGAAATATATAGGGGTTTATATAGGGACTACAATAGGGGTTACTAAGGGGGATACTAGGAGTTTAGACTATAGCTCATCTCTGGGACTCATGCCTCCAACTAAAGATGCTTTTGCAACCTGCCTCGGGTCGCTGAAGCTCGTAGGCCGTGCGATCGAACTCATAGTTGGCCCATTCCATGCTTGGGTCCTTCGGGCTTCGAGGTTATCACCCCAGGGCTCCCCTAGGGATCCAAATAGCTCAATGTAGGTAATGATTGAAGGTCATAGGGTCTAGGCTTAAGGATTTAGGGAGCCAAATAGCTCAATGTAGGTAATGA